GGTTTAGGGTTTCTGCTTTAGGGTTAGTGTTTCTGCTTTAGGGTTTAGGGGTTTGACGTTTGAGAGTGCAACATGCAGCTTTCAGGTGTGCGCGCAGGATCGCAGCACAGTCCCCGACACGTTTCTCAGAGTAGGGGATAGGATTAGGGGGACCCTTGGGGATGTAGACCCTCTGAATAAGGTCCCTGTTTAAGAGAGCCAAAAAAAGGGTTCAGAAGGGTTCCCTCTTAAGGAGCTCCCTTATCCTACCTAGGACTCAGAGGGTCCGAGCCGCGTTGTTCAGGAGCATGTAGAAGGGTGCGCCCTTCCAGGTGGCGACCTTTGCCGAGTCCTCCAAGGTCCGCAGGTATGAAGACAACCTCGCGCTTCGTTCTGGGTAGACGACTTTGTTTAGGGTTTAGGGTTTAGGGTTTAGGGTTTAGGGTTTAGGGATTGGGGTTTAGGGTCAAGGAGCTCTGCCAAATTGCTAGCTGGCGGCTTGGGCATGGCGCCGAAGCAGCTGTCGAACGACGGCAAAACAACACATCGGCTCAACGCAAAGCAAGGATTCTTGACAGTCAGCCTGAAATGCTTCAACACAGCTACGGCAGGGCTGGGGCTTTTGGAGGGCTCAACCAGGATCAGGCAAGAAGCCCTTGGACCTGCGTGGTATCCCGAAACAGAGCGGCCAGGAGCAACGTGAGAAGCCATTCCTGGGGGTGAGGCGTGCGAGACGAAGCTCTTTTTAACACCCAAGATTTCTGAAACGCCAGGTAAGCTTCAAAACCCTTCCTAACGGTTGGTCAAACCAAAGCCCTCACCAGCAAAACGAAAGGCCTGATACTTGTGGGCCCAGGAGTGAGTTGAGAGCAGTTCAAGGTCCCCAAACCCTAAACCCTAAACCCTAAACCCTAAACCCTAAACCCTAGAGGTCTGAAGCGTTTAGGAATGCCAATCGCAGCACAGCATCCAGCATCACGGCTAGCCCTTGCGTGAGCAAGCAGCCAGGATCACCAAAACAGGCCTTGTGCTACTCGGCAGAACAACAGGTTTAGGGGTTTAGGGTGTGGGGTTTAGGGTTCTATTGCTAAGAGCTGCTTACCCTAGCCACTCTCTCTCTCTCTCTCTCTCTCCTCTCTCTCCTCTCTCTCCTCTCTCTCTCGCTCGCTCGCCCTCTCGCTCTCTCTTATTTCGGGGTACGAGTTCTGAAGATTGGTCTCCAGGGGAAAGATGCGGGAGCTGTTGGCGATCTGCAGTGCCGACAACCGGCGGGATATCGAATCTCACCATGCAGTGTTTAGGTTTGTTTTTTTTGCCACCCGTCTAGCAATGATCCCAGGGTTTAGGGTTTAGGGTTTAGGGTTTGGGTTTAAGGTTCATTGTTCATGGTCGTTTGCCCTGGATGATCCTTGACGTCGTTGTCATGGATTGGACGCCCAACTACTAAACATGCTCATGAATGATCTCAGGACTCCCATAGAATGACCTTTCCAATTATTCTTAACTGCAAGCATATTCTTTGAAGCCCACACACCCCCGTAGCCGCACACCCGCAACACTCAACTCTAAAAAATAAAACCTTGAGACCAATCCAGAATGAACCTGTGCCCATCCGCCTCAAAGTGGTAGATGGCATAGGCACCGGCGAGAAGGTACCTGTAAACTGTGTCGGGTCCCGGGTTTGGGGTTTGAGGGTTTGGGGTTCTTGTGATGGGGTGCCCTGAATCCTGACCCCGAGACCCCGCATTATAAGCCCAAAACCCTAAATCAAACCCTAAACCCTACACCCTCAAAACCCTAAACCCTAAAAACCCAAAACCCTAAAAACCCCAAAACCCAAAACGCTAAACCCTTTTTTGCATCCGGGCTATGATGTCCTGGCCGGAAAGTCTTAGCACCTGAACCCTAAACCCTAAACCCTGGTCTTGTCCGGCCCTCAACCTTCATGGCCCTGAACTTCGCTCGAAACCGGGCGATGAACATGAGAGCCATGTCGACCAAGGCTCGACACGTCCAAGGAGTTCCTTGGGTGTTGGGTTTCGGGTTTCGGGGTTTAGGGTTTAGGGTTTGGGGTTTCGGGTTTGGGGCTAGGGCTTAGGGGCTTACATTGGGTTCAGGGGAAGAAGCAATAATCCTGCTGGGTCCTTGAATGTAGGAGTATCTTTACGTGGCTTTGCGCTCCTCACTTTCCCTGATCGGGGTCAGCAGGAGAACCAGCAAGTCTCTGAACCCCAATTTCCAAAAAGCGTACTCAGACACCCCTTTTGCAGCTGGGACTCAAGTACCCTAGAGCCCTATGGACGTCTCTGAGTCCCCCAACCCTGAAGCAGAAGCTGGTTGAGATCGCTCCAAGTATCTTGAAGTTCCCCAGGGTAGAGGCGTGCCAGTAGCGCTTGCTCAGTCGCTTGATGCTCAGTTCGTAGCGGTGGTACACCTGCCTCAGCTGTAGGAGGCCACGACCAGGCAGGCCGCTGATGGTTGATAGGGAACCTAGCCTCTAAAGAACGGACATGAAACAGCGAGCCGAGCCCTTAAAACAGACGAACAACCAGAACAAGCCTGGCTTTGCGGGGGAGCGGGTTATACAATTAGGTCTCTAGATGCGCTCGGACTTTGCATCCTGATGAAAACCTTGAGTCTTCAGACCCTCTGAGCCCTCAAAGTTGGTAGGGTTTAGGTTTAGGGTTCAGGTTTGTAGGGTTTAGGGTTTGTAGGGTTTAGGAAGGCATGAACCCCGAGTGGATTCGAATGGGTCAGATTGATGCCGCGGCTGCCTTTCCGTCCTTCTGCATCCTTGTTTGTTATTTTTTCGTGGGGCAAGTCCCAAGATGCAAAGAAACTGTCAACAGCATACTCCCATCCCCGTAATATCACACTGTAATGGGAGTATTCCATGTTAGGGGGTAGGGAAGGGGTTTGAATATTAAGGAAAGGGGAACTAACTTCAGGTGGGCTATAGGTGCGACCCAGGCACTGTATGGTCAGAAGCCGCTGAACGGAAGGCAAGTGCCAGAGGTGATCGAATCCGGGCCAGAAGCCGTTGGCTGCAGGACTCAGCAGCACGTGCTCGCAGTCGCAAGGAAGGTCCTTTGGATTTGGTTCGTGCGACCCGGACAGTGAAGAACTGCCTGTGAGGAGGCCTCTGTAGTTCATGGAGCAATCACGACATGCAAAGGCAGTGGAGCCGCATCTCCCCAACCCTTCCCTCCCCCCCGCTCCCAGACCCCAATCCTTGACATGATTGGCAACACGAAGCCTGGAAGGACAGGTACGGCCGAGTATCCTGGTAGAGGCGGCAGTCTGGCACAAAAGTGGTCACTTCCTCGTCGCGGGGGCATTGACGGGTGTTCGGGATTTGGGGGTGGCCATGGGAAGCGACGCACGAACTCCCAAACCCTAGACCCTAGACCCTAAACCCTAAATCCTAAACTGGTCCTAAACCCTAAACCCTAAACCCCCAGACTTCTGAGGCCGGTGCTGTGGCCCTGCTCTGCTCCAGCTCTGAGGTGCGCGAGGTCCCAACCAGCAAAGTAATCTGGCGCCCAGAGCCCTCGATGTGCAGGGCCGTCTGAGCAGCGCCTCGTGCACTCCCCAGGAGCCACGTCAGCAAGCCCAGCATCGAGCCTAGGGTTTGTGGGGTTTGTGGGGGTTTGTGGGGTTTAGGGGTCGAGGGGCTTAGGGTTAACTGGGGAGGGAGGGCAAGAACAACAAAAAATCTCAGCCCTCCCCATCCCCCATCCCTTCCCTCCGCCCACATACACATGTATGCAGATCAGAAACACACGCCTACACGCACAAATGTAGGCAAGCCTTGCAGCCTGGCCCGCTCCCCCAGAACAGAGAATGACTAAGCCACAGCTGAGGAGCAGATGCATCGGTGATGAGGACTAGGACGCCATCCAGTCAAATATCAGTCCGGGCCCAAGGTGCCCAGCTCTACTCTGGCTACCCTAAACCCTAAACCCTAGGGTTCAAAGACCACCACCAACACTAGTAGGGCCTGGAAGGCTATTGTAGGCTGCAAACCTCGACGGCCAAAACCCGACGAGTTGGGGCACACGCGCCGTTGCGGATTTTGCAATGTGCTGCTGTGCTGCTGATAATGACTTGTCTGACAGCACATGCAATCGGGTCATGCCAGGACGGAGCATTTCCCAACTCTCAGGGTTTAGGGTTTCGGGATATTCTAGTCACGACTCCTAGGCAGCCGATGCGAAGCTCGATTTGAACACTACGCCCCGGTTCCGGCATCAAAAATGCCTACGCCTCAGCGTGCTGTGTCCCCGAATAACCCTTCTATAACCCTTCTCTACACCTATACCTCGCTCATCCTGGGCCCACATTTAACCTACGATTTGACTTTTGAGCCTGTATTTCAGGGTGCATAGCCTACGAATTGCCGGGAAAAAAAGGTTGTGGCGCTTTGGGTTTACACCGGGACAGGGTCTGCTCTGGCTCTTCAGCTGGACAGCTTGAAGAGACTGTTCTTCTTTGCTAAAAATCTGGGATGCCTTTCTGGCAGGTCTGGCCTGAATTTCGGTTTAGGTTTGATCTAGAGCTTTTGTGCTTATGGTTTTAAGCCTGTCTATGTGAGAACTAGGTCTTTTCTTAAGCTGTGATGTCCCCTGCTAGGCACAAATCGCCTGCGTCCTTGTTTTACTCAGCAGCTACAGTCTTTCGTGGGCCGAAGTCAAGACTTTTGGCTAGGCCCAAGAGGAACCTAGGAATGAAACCCTTAAACCCTTAAACCCTAAACCCTAAACCCTAAACCCCCCGTTTGGTTTAAAGGGGCTTCGAAGGGAACTTATAAGACCTAAAGAAAGGGAATAAGGGCCTGCTCTGGGTTCCTAGTTGGTGCCAGGGACTCTCTCAACCTACAGCTTCGTCGTAACTACTACCCTGAATTCGTAGGTATTACCCATAAAACTGTAGGCAAAAAAGAGTCCCACGTATATCTTCTACGACCCTAAACCCTAAACCCTAAACCCTAAACCCTAAACCCTAAACCCCGGGGCGCCAGCCGGCCGCTTCAGCGCCACAAAGTCCTCGACAAACCTCGCCATGCCAACGGCTGAAAAGTCTTCACATTCTGAAGTAGGGTTTAGGGTTTAGGGTTTAGGGTTTGGGGTTTGGGGTTTGGGGTTTGGGGTTTGGGGTTTGGGGTTTGGGGTTTGGGGTTTGGGTTAAAGTTTAGGGTTGGGGGTTTAATTAGAGTTTAAGGTTTGGGGTTTAAGGTTTGCGGTTTATAGGGTTTAGGGTTGACTTAGAGGTTTAAGTAGGGGTTGTCGACGGATTAAGACTCGTACCCCTAGAGGCTTCCCTCAATAGACTACTGATATGGCCCTTTTTCTTCCTTAGGGAGCTTAACAAAGGGTTCCCAAGCCCAAGGGTACAACCTTCGGGGTACGAGGGAGAGTCCTCCGAGGTTGGGGTTTATTGGGTTTTGACAACCTTACGTTTGTGTACCAGCAGACCTCAACCTCAAATCCTTCAGAGGCTACCTGTTTTCATGAAATCTCAGCGCCTAGGCTGTTGAGGTATGGGGTTCGGGTACCTCACGATGTTACACTACAGGAACAATATCAAACCAGTTCGAAAGCTTTGTGAAGTGTTGTGGGTTAGGGGTTCAACGCTGCTGAACCAACCCTAATCCCTAAACCCTAAACCCTAAACCTAAACCCTAAACCCTAAACCCTAAACCCTAAACCCTAAACCCTAAACCCTAAACCCTAAACCCTAAACCCTAAACCCTAAACCCTAAACCCTAAACCCTAAACTAAACCCTAAACCCTAAACCCTAAACCCCTTGCAGACGGGGGGGTGGGGGGGCCTCTTCACCGACAAAGAGGCCCCAGGCAGCCTGAGGAAGCAGCGGAGTAAGGGGAAACCGACCAAATGGTTTAGGGTTTAGGGTGAGCCCTAAACCCTAAACCCCAAACCCCAAACCCTAAACCCTAAAGCCCTAAACACGAGTCATGAACCCCCACAGCCCCCTTAAAAGGTCTTGCCATTCAAAGAAGTTGGGGGACGCATGAGGAGCCGCACCCAACTACGCCACTTCGAAGGCGGAACCCCGATCTGGGGTTTACATTTTAGGGTTCGAGGCTCTGCTAGTGTTTAGGGTTTAGGGTTTAGGGTTAGGGGGTTTAGGGGTGTTGATGCAATGCTGGTGGTATCGGGATTAGGGTGTGGCGTAGCCTCTGGCACTTGTAAGCTGCGCGAAGGAGGGGGCAACAGCAACCCCTTCCTGGCATCCGGGCTCTACGCAATATCTGCCGGGACCAAAGACTCAAGCCACTCCGCTCCATCTCATGATATTCACAAGACAGCGCAAGCCAAAAACAGAAACCCTGAACACGAAAACCCCGAACAGGTGCATGGATAACATGGCGCTGGTTCTAGCTAGGCTATGTATCGAACAGCTGTTAACCTTTAACCCTCAAAACCCTTCTGGAATCCTCCGGATCTCTACATCCCCCCCCCCCCCCACTGGAGACCCGGCCTTATGGGCATGCCAGATTCCTGCGCAAAAAAACTTGCAAAAAACAAACACCGAAAACTATGAAGTCCCAAGGGCTCTAGAGGTTAAGGCTTGGTGGAAAATTGTAAGCCGTTTGGGGGATTTACATCTGCATCTTGGCAGACCCCTATCCAGAGGATTTGCACTTGAATGCAATAGTGTGTCAAGGGATGGGTGCATGGTTGTCATAAGACTTCAAGCACCCCACGGCCGAAAACTGAAGAGTCTTTCTATCTGCTCGATAGCCACATGGTCGACTGCAAAGCAACTCGCACCTCTGCACCGGAAACATACGGGTTTCCGAACTTCGGGGTACCTTATTGGGGTTCCGATTATAGGGGAACCTACTAATTATTTGGGGTCTATATTGAAGGTCCCTCATTTCCGTAAACCCCCACATGATGAAACATGTGTGCAAGAAACGAAGGCGAAGTTCATTACCATGGAGAGATCCCCTCCGCCTAACAATAAATAACCCCCCCCCCCACATATATACTTTAATATAACCATAATGGGGTTTATAATATTCGGGGGGTGGGGGGGGGGGTTTAATTTTAAGGGGGAGGGGATAACAATGTGCTGAAACATATCGGCGCGGTGGCGCACTTCCCAGCTCTCTAAGCATCCCAAGGGTTTAGGTCTTAGGGTTCATGGCAGCTCCTCCGCCGCGCCCTAAAAAAAAGAACCCCACAGCAAGTTTATGAGATCAACCCTGACCCTGGGCGGGTTTAGGGGTTTAGGGTTTAGGGTTTAGGCGCATCCTTCTCGCCCTGAACCTAGGGCCTAGGCCCTTGTCCTGTGGTCCGGCGGGATGCCCCAGCCCCCGTGCACGGCAGAAGTGCAAAGCCACACCTGCACCAGACAAGAACTTTCAGACCCCTGGCTCGGAGATCGTTCAGTTCACTGTCTCTTCGACTTCGCAAGCTTGCAATCTTAGTTGCTGCGTTCATAAGCCCCCAAAACGTGTACACTTTCAGTTCGACAGGGGATTAGAGCATCCCAAAAAGTGTAAAGTGTACGCATTCAGCTACTAAGCAATAAAGGTGTTGGGGCTGTGGGTCTGCCTTTGCGTCTTCAACTTTCCGGCTTGTGATTCCTGTGGATGTGGTTGCCCTTTGCTTAGGGGGGGCATGAAAGATGGGAGCGGCAGGGTCTCAGAAGGCACTACCAGAGATAGGGTGAAGACCAAGATCCTGTTTTGATGCTTTGTGCGATCACATGAAGAAAACTCGGGAACGGGGTAGCTGAGCTCCCTAAGCAGCTACTTCGAGTTGGTGCCTGTCGTCGCTAGGAGCTCGGTGGCACTGCGACCTCTGTGAAGCTTGAGATTTAGGGTTTAGGGTTTCGGGGGCTTAGGGGTTTAGCGGGGTTTAGGGTTTCGACTCTCACACTCGCACAAGGCCGATGCCTTGCCCAGTTGGCAGGTCTCGAGGTCTGACGTGATACTCGGAGTCTGCTTTGAGGCTCTCTCACAAGGGTTTAGGGTTTAGGGTTTGGCACCAGGACATGGCCTTGAAGGACTCCACGGACTCGGGTTTAGGGTTTAGGGTTTAGGGTTCAGGGTTCAGGGTTCAGGGTTCAGGGTTCATTCAGGGTTCAGGGTTTAGGGTTTAGGGTGGGACCTGCACTCTCGACGTTGTCCGCCTCAGGGGCTCCTCCGTGACTAATCAGGGCGCCCGACAGTAGAAGGGGACTCCCTAAACCCTAAACCCTAAACCCTAATCCCTAAACCCTAAACCCTAAACCCAAAACCGCCGGGGCATCGGGCCATAAGCATCTTTTTGGTTGGGGTCTGCCGCGGCTCCCAGCAGTAGGTTGTACATCGTCTCCTCACCGCCATGTGGTGCTCCGAACTTTTCGTCCATGCACCAGGGTTTAGGGCTTAGGGTTCTCAAAGATGTGAGTTTCGACCAAAAATTCAAAACATTTATGCTTGAAGGGCCTGTTTTCCTCCAACAAGGGTCCAGCATCAGATGCCCTCATCTCGCAACCTTTCCTTCCCCACCCAACTATACTCCCCTTGGAACCTTCATAAAAACAATATGTTTGATATCCTCTTGGGGTTTATATGAACAAAAAACATTCCCAGGGGGGACATAGCCAAGCCATCCCCGAACAAAAAACCTTCTGCTGCGGTTCAAACGCGGGCCTTTTTTCGGTCAAGCAGCGGAGCACCGGAGCTTCCTTAGGGCTCGAAGATGGCTCCAGACATAGGCTGGCTGCACCGCGCATGCGAGATACACCGATAAGATCACAATGAAAGCTTCAGCCACACTCACCCTGTGAGACTTACGGAAAAACTCGGTGATGTAGCCATGGAGGGTCGCCAGAATGGATGAACTTAGAGCCGACACCAGTAGTGCTCCCAGAGCGCGCTGAATCATCTTCTTCCTCCTACTGTCGGGGTCCCGCATGAATGTCCTGGAAATCGACCAAATCTCACACCAGTGTACGAAGAATCCCACACTCAAGGGATAGTAGCACAGATCGAGCAGCAACACATCCCAGGAATCGGGGTTCAGGTGGACATAGGCAGACAATGAGGCTCCAAGACCAAAGCCCAGCAGGTGGTGCTCGTACATGTGATGCATGCTGACTCCCTGCAAGCCGATCCGATGCAGAAAAATTGCATTGAGGGAATCAAAGCCATACACAAAGGTGTACCACCAAAGGCCGTTGCAGGCATGTTTCTTTGCATCCGATCTTCCCAGGTGGCTGAAAAGAAGCACGCCGCCGTGGCGAACACACTCCGCGTAGCACACCAGGGAGACGACGCGAACGGGCCAAGGGGCCCGAAGACCGAAGTCCGATTTGCTGGGGCGAGCAAGAGTTCCCATGGCGACGCAATTCAACAAACTAACGACAGCACAGCACCTGCACATGAATGAGCCGCAACCACCACAAGCAAAGCAGAAAGCAAGAACAAACATGGCTAGGCTCACTGCGTCGGCATGATGGCGGGTTCAGGGTGGGCCAGTGTGGGCTGATAGGAGGCACCAACATCCGAACCTCCTCACATGTTTATCAACTCTGAGTCCTAATCTCCTTTAGATTTTATGGGGGTTCAGGGTTTAGGGATCAGGGTTTCGGGTCAGGAGCCCCAAAGCTTCCCAAAGCTATCCGAGTGACACCATCACTTGAGCTTAGTAGCTTTTTGGGCACCTCTACTGACCTCGACTAGACCCCAAGAGGGACCCCCTAAACCCTAAACCCTCAATCCTAAACCCTAAACCCTAAACCCTAAACCCTAGAACGACCCTGCTCTCAGCCCTGGTCCTCTCCATGGGTGGCTGCGTAGTGCAGTGCCGTGGCATTGGAGAGGTCGGTCTGGGACGGTGCGGCCTGCCACTAACAAGGGTTTGGGGGGGGGGGGGGAGGGGTTGGCAACCCTTCAATTCTACCCCAAACCCTAAACCCTAAACCCTAGATCAAGGGACTTGCTCCAGTTTCCCAAGTAAGCTAGGGCTTTCGACCATTTTATTAGGGTACTCAAATTGCTTCACTACCTGAGGAGCTACCGTGTTAGGGTACCCAAGTTTTCTTGCCCCAAAAACCCGAAACCCTAGACCCTAAACCATAAACCCCAAACCCTAAACCCTAAATTAACCACTAAAGGTAAACCTTAGACCGAGCCAGTCTTTCTGGGCGTTGGCCGACCATGGACTCGCTTACGGAACCCAGAAAGCCCCTTCCAATAGGGTTCTTCCGTTCTTCCTGTTCTTACAGTAGAATTACAAAGGGGCCCATAAGGGTATACTATTTGTAATTATTCCGACCCCTGTAGTGTGTCAGCATTCTCTCCGGAGCAGAACACGAGTTGGGCCCTGCGATGGGCTTTCCTCGTCTGCATTACGGACCGTGTTGCTGCTCAACCTGGGGCTCTCTTTGCCTACAGTTTTATGGGCTATACCTACTGATTCAGGGGTAGTTACTACTCAACTGTAGGTGAATTTCAGTCCCAGGAATGGTTGTCTCCGTTGGACAAGCCCTTCACTTCTTCTCGGCGCGATCAACCAGCTGATCGAATATCAAGGAACTCCAAAAGACACAGTCTCTGCTTGGGCTCGCTGGAAGCATCTGGCCGCATGTGGCGCAGCGCAGTGCTTAAAAGATGTAAAGCAGCACCCAGCTATTCTCACACTTGTGATTTCGCCCTAAACCCTACACCCTAAACCCTAAACCGTCCCTCCCCAGCTGCCATAGACTGCCGATGCGTAAGGAAGATTTTTCTGTGGCTTCTGCTCCTTGGGACCTCTTAGCTTTGAGATCCTTCAGCCATCAGCCGTAGCCGTAGTGAAAACCTAGCTCCTGAACCCCAAGAAGCCCTGGAAGCCCAGAATTAAGCAAGCCCTGTAACCCTATAATTCTACCCCAAACCCTAAGCCCTAGATCAAGGGCTGTAGTCGTCTGAGAGGCCTGGGCGCGCAAAAGCGTCTGGGCGACAACCTCCCATCCATGGATGGCACAGCACCTCACGGGGCTTAGGGTTTTTTCGCTCCCGCATAGCTGGCGAGGGTTTGGGGTTTGGGGTTTAGGGTTTAGGGGTGAAGGGCCTGGTCTTCGGGCTCGGGAGGGGCCCAAGATGTCCTGTTCATGTGGGTTTAGTGTTCAGGTTTCCCTTTGTGTCCATCTCTGTCCTCGTGGGAATTTTTGTGGGGTGGCTACTTTTTGCCTTTCAGCGCGATCCCGGCAGTTGTCCATGGCAGGGCTTCGAGGTCGAATATAGAGTCAGAGGTTCCGTACATTTCCTTACATGATTCAGGGAGGCTGCGAGCGCAGTAACCATATCTTAATTCATAAGGGCAGCCTTTTGGGGATTGGTTACTTTGTATGGGAACCTTGAACCAACAAAAAATGAAAAAGGGTACCGCTGGGCGACTAAGTTGCATGCGGTACACTTTAACCTGAAAAGCTGAACACGCCTGAAGCTTCAACCTGCCCGGCTCCGAGGTGTCCCTCACACTATGGTCATTATGGGGCTTCGTGGTATGTCCCGGTCTACCCTCAACCCTCAACCCTTTTTTGAACCCTAAAGCCTAAACCCTAAACCCTAATTACCCTCTCTCCTACATCCCCGCGTCGTCACGAGCCCCAGACATCAATGGCGACTGTGGCGGGCCGCACCAAGCACCTGTGTCGAGGGCGTCCGGGATATCCTTCTTGGTAGCCCAGTAACCATATCACGATAAGGGCACCCTTTTTTGGTTGGCTACCTTACAAGGGAAGCTTGAGCAAAAAAAAGGGAAAAGGGTACCACTGGGCTGCCAACCCTTTAAGCAAGTCGTGAGGGTGCTACGACACAGGGTGAGCTGTGGAAAAGGCATGCGGGTAGCTTCATGATTGCTGTTGCTTGCTAACCTCTTCTATTTACTGTGCGATCTATCTTCGTTCCGTGTTGAGCAGACGTTGCTCACATGGGGGCTACCGAAATTGGGGGTGTTGGGGTCCTTGTCATAAGGGAATCCTACTATTTAGGGATCTATATTAGGGCTCCCGTATTTTCGTAAACCCCACATATGCTTGCTATTCAATCCCTAGTTTCAGTCCCTGACAGGTCCAAGTACAATGGGTGCAGACCTTCAAGCCAAGGCTAAGACCTACACTAAACCCTATAAACCCTATTATAAACCCTTCAAACCCTATCAAAACCTATCAAACCCTATAAACCCTGTAAACCCTACAAACCCTTAAAACCCGATAAACCCTATCTGTAAACGCTGTAAACCCTGTAAACCCGGTAAACCCTAAAACCCTATAAACCCTAAACCCCAAACCCTAAACCCCCTATACCCAAAACCCTATACCCTAAACCCCGGCTCGTGCTCTCTGGAGGCTCCGTGGCCCGGGCCAGCGCTGGCTGCAAGGCCATTTGGGTCTGCCGAGGAATCCAACAAGAACTTCACCTGATCATTGTATCTACACTAGGGTTTAGGGTTTAGGGTTTAGGGTTTAGGATTAGGGGGACCCTTGAAAATATAGACCCTCTGAATAAGGTCCCTGTTTCAGAGAGCCGAAGAAGGTTAAGAAGGGTTCCCTCCTACGGCCCCCCTTATCCTCCCTAGAAACTAGGGTCCCCTGATAGGTACGTCAGGTTTAGGGTTTAGGGTTTAGGGTTTCGGGTTTGGGGTTTGGGGTTTGGGGTTTAGGTCGTGGGTGGGGCTGGCAGGGGTTGATTCTGAGGGGCCTTGGGGGCAAGATACACTCAGCCGAGAGAACGTCTCAAAACGCATTCAGCGCACGAGTCAGGAATACAGTCTGGTTAACTCTACTCAACCACTGTAAACCCTCACGACATTCCCCGGGCTCTGTGCTTCGGGCAGGATGGAACTTGAAACATGGTGCGTCTTTGCAAGACCCAAGGTTTAGAAGCAAAAGGTTTGCGTGCACGCCACCACGAACCTACGTAGGATGAAGGTGCACCGCATACTCCTGCAGGGAGCTTCGTGGCACCCCCCATGCTCGTGCAGAAGTCTGCATGAAGCACCCTGCACTCCAGGCCCTCCCTGGGCACGTCGCCCTCCCGGCGAGGGCCGGCTCGTAGAGTTCTCGCCTCGCAGCCGCGTTAGGCTTGAACGACGTGAGGGTATAGGAGTATGTGCGGCGCAGTCGGACCCTTAACCTTATTCCCCTGTAGAACCTATATACACCTTATCTAGTCCCTATATACCTCAGTAGCCCCCCAATAACCCTTAACTCACCTCCAACGTCCCTGATAAGCGTTCATCCTAGAATCCATTGAGAAATTCAGAACGCCGTGGTGATGACACAGGGACATAGGAGTCTCATTCGTCAGCGCGTCTATCACTTTCAGAATCGTATACACTGCAGGACACACAAGTCCAACATGTCCCTACTCATCTTCTTAAGTAAGTGGACTCTCCTGTTTCCGGGTTGAGGATGTGCGGGGCTATTTGTGGCACATGGGCTCGCAAAACCCTGCAGCAAACACCTCGCAAGACAAAGCAAAAAAACAACTGAATGCCCTAAACCCTAAACCCTAAACCCTAAACTCTGAACCCTAACCCTAGACTCTAAACCCCAAATTCAGCCATGCGGTCAGCCCACCCGAAAGCTACGACACCAGCCAGGGGGCGCTTGCCGAACGGAGCAGCAGGCGAGTCCATCCAACGGCCACCTGCTAAAGAATGTGTCTTGGGACCCTAAACCCTAAACCCTAAAACCCTAAATCCTTTCGCAGAGTCTAGCCTATTCTTTTTATTCTTTTGCCAGAGTTCATTCGGGTTCAGGGAATCCCTCGCCCTTGAATGCTTACGTTGAAGGCCCAAAAACCTATGTTTTTTGTAGGTCTACTCAGGAAGCCCCTCGAAGGATCTGCAGCCCGCAAACAATAACATGTGGGTGCCTAAGGTAAGCCCTCATTCCTCCAGTCTGTAGGGTGTTAAGCTACGTAAGTCTCCCAGCGACAAGGTGCGGGATTTAGGTCTCTTCCAGAAATCTTTGGTGTCAGACCATGGCGCTCGTCGGGTACCTTTGTCTGGTACAAGGCGGCCTTGGGCAACCTGGTTCTTGCCCAGCTTTCCTATAGCGGAACTCATTCAAGAAGAATTCGCCTTGTAAATAGGTTCTGTAGGTGCTCTGCTGCATCTGCTGGCCCCCCCCCCCCCCCCCCCACCCCCCAACAAACAAAAAAACGATTGCTGCATACTACCCTCAACCCTAAACCCTACTCCTGAAGCCCCTAGGAGGGGCACCCTCCGCAAGTTTGACCCTGGAAGTTTCATGGAGAGCCATGGAAACCGTGAAACTGCAGAGCCTCGTCTGCGGCACTGGTAGGCCTGGACTTGGAGTTAAGAGCTTGAGGGTTTAGAGTTTAGGGTTGTTTTTGGCACCCGACTAGCCAGGCACAGCGCGGAAACCCTAAACCCTCAACCCCCGTACCCGCGAAGGGGCCTTTGAGGCTTCATCTCAAGTTCAGGCGGGCCAAAGGACTTCAACCGCTTGGGGAGGGCTGAGGGTGTAGGTTTAGGGCTTGCTGTGTTATTTCGCAGAAGCTGTGAAGGTTGGGATGCAGACTAGCTTCGAAAGCTTCATGGAATGTGAGGAGCAGCTGTGGCCCGATTTGTGGAGGGCCATCTAACACTTTATCCCCCCCATTTGCCGTCTCAGGCGGCAAAACTACCCATAAAATTACAAGCCTAAACTCAACCTACTTCCAAAAACTTCGTCGCAGGCGGGTCCACAGGGTGTCGGGGGGTCACGGGCGGGTGCCAGGGCAGCCCAGAAAAGCCCCAGCAGGGTTCCAGAATAGTTCCAGAAATTCCAGGGACGGTCGGCCCCCCCCCCCCCCCCACCTCCCACTGTAGGGGGGGCGGCTCAAGTCGTGCCTACTTGCAACCGCCTGAAAAGCCTGAAAGCGCAAGCCCGCTGAGGGGGTCCTGCAAGGCGACGCAAATCTGAAGCGGCCCGCGCAGCCTCAGGCTGGGTTTAGGGTTCCGGGATAAGGTTCGGTGTTCCATTTAGAGTTTTGGTTTGCCACCCGCCTGTCTGACGCCTAAGTTGGGTTTTCAAATTTAGGAGTGGGGTTTAGGGTGCAATCTTCCATCTTGTCTTCCTGGGGACCGCAAGACGCAAAAAAACATGTGCCTTCTGCAAGTGCCACCGATGTCCCCTATGCACCCCTAGAAGTGTAAAGGGCCCATGTTTGATATTCTGGGGTTCGGACGGGAACATACACCCCCAGTCTTAAGTTGAGTATGCATATTCCTTGCAGAGCTTATGAAACTAACATACGTGCATGCATATAAGTATACATTGACATACACTCAAGCATCGCGCAGTAGCACCGCATGAATTAAGCCATTGAACAACCCTACACAAACCTTCCCAGTAGACATCCCTACAAGAGCAACCTTTCAGCACCAAACCCCGACTAAGCCCTTCAAAAATGTGTGTGCTGAAGTTCAACTCAACACTGCGAACCCTAAACCCTAAACCCTAAACCCTAAACGTGGGAAATGGATATCCAGCCTCAGAAGTCAGAAGCAGGCGCGTGTAGTCGTAGGCCCAGGGCTCTGCCTCGGACATGTCTCTTTAGACCTCATCCCCTAATCCTATTCGGGCCTTCCTTCTTTATGTACACACACATATATACACACACACACATATATATATATATATCTATGTAACTATATATACATACGCTTTTTTCATGTTTTTTTTTTGTGGGGGAGTGGGGGGGCGGGTTGTTGGGGCTGTGGGGAGTTGAACGCCTTTAGAAGCCTCTTCGGGGTCTGGAGGGTGCCCCCTAGGAAGATGTACTTCGTGACACTGAAGTTGAACCAGAAGGTTTAGCTTTCTATAAGATGCAGTTTGGGATGTTCCCCCTGATACTAACAGCTCTCAAGACGGATTATAATAGGCGGTGCTATAATCCCTGCTAAGGACTGATAGAAAAAGGGGGAAGACCCCAAGACAAGTTAAGATTTTCCTCCGAAACTCTTAACTTTAAGACTTTGAATTCTCTGGCTTCCGGCCCTTTCAAGGGCAAGTCTCTCACCCCGTGGTGTGTGCCCTCCACCCCGAGCAGTGGCTCTCCCACTCTTTTGAACCTGAAGCCTGCAAGCATCCGAAAACCCGAAAAATGAAGGCCCAGTAACCATATTACAATCAGGGCACCCCTCTTTTTGGGGGTTGCTATTTTATAGGGGAAACCATAACCAAAAAAAAGGTAAAGGGTACCACTGGGCCACCAAGCTCTAGAATGCTCTCGAGGCATGTTGCACCGGGACTTTCCCAAACCCTTCTCAGAGCATCGACCTCAGCTGGGACCACTAAAACCCCTAAACCCCAAATCTGGCGCCCCAGTGGCCAGCAGCGCGCAGAGGGCCGCTGTGGCGGCCCTGGCATGACCCAACTTGGAGGTTCATAGTACTCATTAACCAATTATAACTGTACTTTTAGGGTTTAGGGTTTAGGGTTTAGGGTTAAGCCTGCTCATTAAACGTTGTAGTTTCTTGGCTGCACTCAGAAGGGTAGCTACAACTTAACACTTTGTAGCCGCCGTATGAAGAAACCCAATAAACCCAAAAATGCCAAGGATCTAAAGATACAGCAAAGCACGACAAAGGTTCTATCTTCCGTCTAGAAGTTTCAAGGCGGTCTACCTTGCAGACTGCAGCAGGTGATGGCACGCATGTTTCGAATCAAGTAGGATTCCGGATGCAGGGCGCCAGGCCCCTAAAATTATGATCCCCAACCCTAACTGAACCCTCAACCACACAAAGATACCTCTCAAGACAGCTGGGTTCATGCAGTAGAAGCCCTGCCTGTGACTCCCAAGCCCTACTAATTCGTTGGTTGTAATCCCTAAATCTAAGGTATGAAACCCCTAAACACTAAACCCTACACCCCCCAAACAAAGTAGGTAAATGAAGTCCAGGGGGATCTCTCCATAGTCCATGGGACTCTGGACATGGATTGTTTAAACCCGACCTTTTCAGAAGGTCTCTTCAGGACTTCTGAGCTGATATCTTGGTTAGGCTTAGGGTGTGCAGGGTGTAGGGAGGAGGGAGTAGGGAGGAGGGTTCGACCTTCCAGCCCCAAGGGTTTGTGTGTGTGGGTGCCTTTGGGGATCCTTGTTTTTTGCAAGGATGCCGTACAGTCGTACAGTGCGTGGGGGCCCAAAAGGGGACCCTGAATTTCGAGAGCTACCCACTTGCGTGTATCCGGGTTTAGGGCTTCAGGTCCATCTCTCAAGCCTTTGCGCGGTCGGAGAGGGCGGCTGATTGGCGAAAACGCCTCGGGCCCTAAACCGCTGGAGCTCGCGAGCTGGTAGTTTGCGTCTTAAGAGCCGACAACGCTGTAAGTTTTTGTCCCGCTACTGGCTTTATGACGCCGAAGTGAACCCTGAACCCTTTTTGCACAGGCTTGTCTCAGCGCGCCTGGTCGAGCTCGTCGCTCTCGTGGCAACACGCTCAGTCTGAATGTTGAACTAAGGAAATCATAAACCCTAAACCCTAAGACTGCTGTCCAGGATTCGTGATTCGAACAATGCTGTGGTCCTTGCAGCTGTGCACGACCTTGCCTGGCCCTGTCAAAATATTAGAACACCAAGCCTGGGGGCGTGTGGGAACACCTCCGTGATTTAGGTGCCTAAACCCTAAACCCTAAACCCTAACCCAAAACCCTAAACCCTAAACCCCGGCGATGGCTTTGGGTTCAGGGTGCACGCTTCCTAGACTTGTTCAGGCCTATGACCGTTTTATTTCGAACCCAACTTCATGTATGGGCCCTTCATTGGGTCATACGTCGTACTACTCAGGTTCTAAGTCCCTTAACTGAAGTTGGTAGAGTAAGGGGGGCCCCTACTTGCATACTCCTTACAACTCGAGGGGCTCCCCTAAACCCTAAACCCTAAACCCTCGGGAGCTCCAAGACAAACCTCAAGGCTTGGCCGCCCCATGGCTTTCTGAGCCCCCGGGCTCTGTAGCTGCTCGTGGCCATCCTCCACAAGTGCTTTAGGTTTCCAAGCTGGGGGCAGTTTAGGGCTTAGGGTTTCGGGTTTACTGTAGCGTTTAGGGTTTAGGGTTTAGGGTTTAGGGCTTCCAGCCGATGCGTGGCTGCATCGTCACTCATCATCATGCAATTAGGTATGCGAGGTGCTACTGAAGCTTGCGGCTGTGGCCCCACATGCATGCCTTGGTGGAGTTTGTGGTGTGCGAAGAAGGCTCGCCAATAGTAACCGGGCAGTTGCTGCGACTTTAAGGTGGCCACAAATGGGAGTTTACGAAAACAAGGGACCCTAATATAGACCCCAAAATAGTAGGATTCCCTTATCATAATATCTCATAATAAGGACCCCCCATAAGGTACCCTTATTTTCGTAAACCTCCAAATGTCGCAGTACAAGGATTCTGGGGGTCATCTAGGGTTTAGGCTTGATGCAGCTGGAGTGCAGTCCTCTGTCATGCACAGCGCCGCAGCCACGGCTTGCTCGACCAGGTCCTACACTCAAAACCCTAAGCCCCTAAACCCAACAGCATATGAAGCAGGGCTTATATGACTGTTTTTGGTGAGTGTATGTAAGGTTCCTTTTTGATATTGGTGAGTGTTTTATTCTGGGTGTCCTTTTTGGGGGGTACAAGAAAGATATACCCTGCTTCATATCCGATGACACGTGCCCATTTAGCTGCTGTTCCCCCCCATGCAAGAGGGACTGGGAGAGTCCACTCGGCTACAAGACCACAGTCCTTGGCTGCTTCAAGCCCTCGAACCCTAGACCCTAAACCCTAAACCTTCCTCGGCGCAGCCCATGGCAGCATGCCCGAAGCTCCATTAGCCCTGGGTTTAGGGTTTAGGGTTTATCAGATTCTATTAGCCCGAATCCATAAACATTGCAGACCCGAAAAATCTCCACCGCAAACCCCCCCCCTTCCCACCAACAAAAAGAGGTAGAACAAGACAAAGACGGAAACGACACGAGGTTTATACCAATACCCCAGTAGAAGCTAAAAGGCCCGCGAAAACTTCGGCTTTGAGCCAAAAAGTTGAGCCGCCAATTGGCAGGACGAGCTACTGGTGTCTTCTGGGGCTCTAACTTCAGGGTTAGGGTTTGATGCAAAGCTGGGCTGTATAGGGTTTGGGTAATTGAGGATGTTATCGGGGTTAGGGTGCTTCTAACGTTCAGGGTTTGATGGAAAGCTGGGCTTTATCGGCATAGGGTTTGGGTAACTGAAGATGTTGTCGCGGTTAGGGTGCAGGGTGCTAACTTCAGGGTTTAGGATTTGATGGAAAACTGGGCTTTACGGGGTTTGAGCAACTGAGGATGCTCTCGGAATTACTGCGCCCTGCTATCAATCGGGAGGCCGGCGCCGGCGCACACTTGGAATCTCTCTTGCCCGCCGCAGCTTGCCCAAGCAGGGAGCTTCGCAAAGCTTTTTTCATCGGACGTACTTTGGTGGCTTGCCGCCCGAGGCCCTGAGATATGAAACTCTTGCTGCCCTAAGGGTCCGTGTGCCTCTATAGTTCGTACAGGTAGTATATGCTTGGGCCATAAAACGTCGGAACCCCCTCTAGGGCCCAAGGAAAAACCATCTGGGCATTTCCTCAAATAGGTGTACCCTTAATTGGCCCCCAAATGGTATAATCTTGATTATCGGAGCCCCCCTAAACTCTAAATCCTAAACCCTAAGCCCTAAACCCCAAACCCCAAGAAGGGTGCTCCTATTTTCGTAAACCCCCCATATAGGTACATGGATCCTTAGGGTTGGTTTGCTAGGTCAGGCCATTCGGCCATGACACTGGGCTGCCATCGTCTCAGGACCCGCGTTCTTCGTAGCAAAAAAAAGCCCTCTCAATAATCCCTTACCCCTCATATTACAACCCCCCCAAACCCCCTAATATGAAATACCCCTAATGATAGTTGTAATATAGTAAATGGGGGGGTGGGGGTGGGGGTGGGGGGTATCTAATATTTTGGGGTGGGGGGGGGGGGGGGTTAGTATTGGGGGAAGGGGATTACTCACGTGAGTTTTTAACTTTGGAGCACTTATGTATGAAGAACATCTATAGCTCCAAGCCGCCCTAAAAGAACCCCCCCTCCCCAACCCCAGTCCTACCTAGGGAAATGGGAGTTCTCTCCAGTCCCCCTAGATTCCTGGCTTCCTAATTCCGTGTCAGACATTCCTGCATGGCCCGAGCCCTGGAGGATTACCTGATATCCCCGTGGCAGCGATTTCAGAAGCGAGCATGGAACTCCACCAGCCTCTGCTGCGAGACAGGCCCGGGGTCTAGGGTTTAAGGTTTAGGGTTTAGTTTTTTAGGGGTTTAGGGTTTAGGGGCGATCGATGGGGCTTGGCTATGCAGAATGGCGACGTCGTTTTTTGTGCTTCGCCTACCTCAACATATCTACCTCCAGGCTTGTGAGAAGGCGGCTCGCGATTTGAAGCATCAGCTTTTCTCCAAATCATGGACCCCGCGTCACCTCCACTAGCCGCGTATAGCCCAAAGCAGAAAATTGCACCTTCGAGCCTCTTTGAGAAAAGGCACCAAATTTTCTAGCATCCGCAGCAGGAGTGGCTTGCTGAGATAGAACCCTTCATAACGACCACTGCCACCAATCCAAACCGCCACCCTCATCATCCCACACCGGGGGTGCTGAGCATCCGACGCTGGCGAGGCAAGTAGATTGCGCACACCGGCCTCGGACCGCCAGAGTTGCTCAGAAGAGTTTATGGGCCCGTAGAACGGATGGAGACAAAGATCCCGACTAGGCATAGTTTGGTTTTTTCGAGGGAGTGGGAGCATCTACATTTCCCAAAATTATATGCATAAGATTGTATACGTATAGATATATCATGTGATATGCAAAACGTAAAAAGTACATTTGATTTAGAAGCATTGCTTAAACACGGTGCGCTACTGTTCGCCGATGATGTCGAGACTTTTGTGCAAGCTTTGGCGGCACTTTGAAACTGAGGAAGTCAGGAGCGCTTCAGCCTTCCAACCGCAAGCGATGAGATTAGGCCCTAATGTAAACCCTAAACTCTAAACCCTATAAACTCTAAACCCTAAACCCTGGAAGACTTGAAGCAGCTCAAATACATGCAGAATCGCACCAATCACCTGCATCCTCCATGATAGACGAAGCCTCAGTGGCATCCACTACCTCTACCGCGAGCCCTTCATCCTCAGCAAAGGTGGGACATGGACTCAGTAGCCCTCATTGGACCAATCCACCTCGCAGGTATGAGGCGTGAAGTTTTGGTGGGCACTATCCTAAACCCTAATTATAAACTCTAAGCCCTAAACCCTAACCTTTGATTCTGGGTCCGTTCATTGCTACCTTCCTTCTGCTCCTCCGTCGGCTGAACTTTGCAGCGAAGGATTTCGGGGGGGGGGGGGGGGGGGGGCCTTTGGAGTGAGGGGGCGTCTTGCGTAAAACCCTTCTAATGCCTGAAATTCCTAAACCATGGTGAATATTGTTAATATTGCTAATTATTGTATTATTAGTATTATTAATACATGACTAGTCTTAGTCTTGTTAATACTATTAAGATTATTAATACAATTAATACTCAGTTTTACGGGTTTGGGGGCCCAGCTATCTCCAACATGCGCCAGCCCATGCCTTTAGCCCACATTCGCACGTATACTCGGACGGCGCTCGAGACTGCACTACAAGTTCGCTGTTTCCCTGTGGCCATGAGCAACCTTCAGGGGACAAAGACGCAAGGAGGCTCCGTCAAAAAGGAGGTTCCGTAAATGCAGACCTCTTGTGCGGCAAATCTTTAGCAGGATCCATTGCACTAAAAACCCTAAACCCTAAACCCTAAACCCTAAGCCCTAAGCCCTAAGCCCTAAACCCGAACCGTAAACCACCCGCCTGGTAGCCAGCAAAGTAGTTCTTGCACACCTTGCGAAATAAACAACGCAGAGGCTTCCCTCCCTCCATCTCGAGAGGCTCTCCTTGTAATCCCCTCTCCCTAATCGTAAACCCCCCCCCTACCCCTAAAATACCCCTATTATCATAGTTATATTAGAGATATTAGAGCATGTGGGGGGTTCGGGGGGGGTTATTTAATATTAGGGGGTAGGGGCGGGGGTTTAATATGAGGGGGAGGGGATTTCATGACAAGCATGATCCCAGCCCCTGTCCTCGGCAGAAATCTCGTGCCCAGTGCCCTCAGCCCATGGGAAGCCGTAGGAGAAGCCGTAGATTTTGATGAAGCCCCTGAAATAGGGTTTAGGGTTTAGGGAATTCTGGGAATGTTGCAGCATTTGCAAGGCCGATGGTGCACGCACCACGAACATTGTTTTAGGGAGTTTAGGGGGTTTACCCCATAAACCATTCGATATATCATTGTCGTGCCTATAAGTGTTAGCGCGAGATACAGGAAACAAGGAAGAAAACAATAAAACAAAAAACAATAGGACTGGCGCAGTCCCCTGCTTGCGACCTTTACCGTCCGCTTTCCTCGAGCAGAACAACTCTCACTGCGGCTCGCCTTGGGAACATTCATGGGCCAGGTTCTGCTTTCTGTTGAGTAGGTGCCGGCCACTTGTTGTGGCTAAGGGTCCATGTACCACATTGCTATATACTGGGCCCCGAAGGAAGCACCTTAGGCCCAAATACTCCCTATTTAAGTACATGGACCCTTAGGCTCACAGAAAGCATCAGCAGCCCCCACGGCATGCCTGGGAACGTCGTGTAGAATGCGGCCGCCCCCCAGAACCTGCGATCAGACACACGCACAGCCCTATAAACCCTAAACCCTAAACCGCTTAAACCCCCTTTTGCATCGGATAACTCGACCGAAAAACGATGCCACTCTTAGCTCAGGGAGCGGATGCTGGGGGGGGGGGGGAGATGACAGGAGCTCTGGTTGACATCGCAATGAAAGGTCCTCATGCCCTGAGCCCAGCAAACTCCGAGCTGTCACGCACGCAGAGTACGTGTAAACCCTGCAATTCTCCGGGGGCGAAGAGCCCATAGATAGAGTTTAGGGTCAAGAAACAAAATAGATCAAACCCTGACTACAGTTCACCGGCCTCCACGCCGAACCCCTCCTTGAGGTAGGCGCGCACATAGGGGAGCGCTACATCCTTGTGGTATGCCTGGCAGGTTCGAGGCTTCAAGCAGGGTGTGCTGGGAGGGTTTTCGACTCTCACACTGGCGCAGAGCTGGCAGGTTCTGCGGCTAGGGTGTGTTCAAGGCGTGAGACTACCGCACCGTACAAAGAGCCAGGGACTACCATCACGATTTCAAAGAGTATACTCCCACCCGGGAGGGTTTTACACCCTAAACCCGAAACCCTAAACCGGCAGGTCTGTCGTTCATGTGGTCTGGTCAGCTGGAAACCAGCCTTTCGAATAGATCGTATCGAGAAAAAGAGCCTGGGGCAGGGGGGGTGGGCAGGCCCCATCGCTGTAAGGATGCAGGCGGGTTGATGTTGAAACAAAAGCCATATGCGCCCAAACCCAAAAGGTAGCGAGGGATTTTTGCAAGTTTCAAAAAAAGGAACAAGCAATAGACACACACACACACAAACAAATGCACGGACGCACGCACGCACCCAAACAAACAAACCAACAAACAAAGCAAGCAAGCAAACAAACAAATAAACAAACCAGCAAACCAGCAAACCAGCAAACAAACAAACAAACAAACAAACACACACACACACACACTCACACACACACACTCACACACACTCACACACACACACACACACACACACACACACACACACACACGCACACGCACACGCACACGCACACGCACACGCACACGCACACGCACACACGCACACACGCACACACGCACACACGCACACACGCACACACGCACACGCCCACCCACCCACCCACCCACCCACCCACCCACCCACGCACGCACGCACGCACGCACGCACGCACGCACGCACGCACGCACGCACGCACGCACACAAAAAAAGCTCTCTCACTCTCTCTCACATATATATATATACATACATACATACATATGTATATATAGAAATGTGCAATTATTCATTTAATGGTGCTCTGCATGTTACACCGCATGAAGCGTCCGACGCTGGCCAACCCGGGCTGGCAGCACGGCGCCCAGCGTGCCACGGACCAAGTACTTCTTCTCCTTAGGGTTTAGGGTTTAGGGTTTAGGGTTTAGGGTTTAGGGGTTGTGGTGCTTTTTGTATAGGTTTTCTAGTTCCCTAAGTAGGGTTTTACAAGGGGGTTCTGGTGCTTTTTATAGGGTTCCTACTTCCTTATGTAGGGTCTTTGTGAGGGGGTTATGGTGCTTTTTGTAGGGCTTCTAGCTCCTTACGTGGGGTGTTACCAGGGTTATGGTGTTTTTTTTTTGATAGGGTTTCTTCTCCTTAAGTCTGGGGTTCCATGATGGGTTGTGGTGCTTTTGCAGGGTCTTCTCCTTAAGTCGGGTTTATAAGGGGTTACGGTGCGTATACAGGGTTTCTTCTCCTTTCGTAGGTTTAATCAGAGGTTGTGGTGCTGTTATAGGATGTCTTCTCCTTAAGTAGGGTTCTATATATAAGGGGCTCTGGTGCTTTTAAGGGGTTTCTTCTGCTTCAGAAGGGTTTAATAAGGGGGTGTGGTGCTTTTATAGGGTTTTTCTAGGGGGCTTGAAAGGGTTTCCGGTTCCTTAAGCCGGGTTCTGCAAGGGGTTATGGTGCTAATATAAGGTTTTCTAGAGGCTTGAAAGGATTTCTAGTTTCCAGCCAGATCGTTAGTAGGATGTTCTAAGGTAGTCTTGGCTTTTCTCGGGTTTTGGAGGGTTTGTGGGGTTTAAGACCGGGCTGTATGGGGCTTTAATGGGTTGCAATCATGGTTTATGGGGATTTATTGCCCTGAGGGATGCTTGCTTGGCTTTCAGTGACTTGTGATAGCCCTGGGCGGAACCTGTTACTGTTCCTTAAATCCTCTTTAGGGTTTATGGTTTAAGGTTTAGGGTTTAGGGTTTAGATGAGGACTTGGGATCCGTTGCCCAGGGCTCCTCTCAACTACCAGCTTTTTTGCTTCATAAAAGCGAACAAGTCTCACCGCTCGCCGCCGTGACACGCAGAAGAACCTTGAAGTAGGGGTGGAAACGTAGGGTTTATAGGGTTTAGGGTTTAGGATAGGTTATGCGCACATGTGCTGCTTACAGGCATCTTGACCCCAAGTTGCGCAGGACATGCAACTCTTGGCTGCAGTCCATGTGAAGCCCCATACACCTCCTATGACAACTGTAGCCCTGAAACGCGCAGTGGTCCACAAAACCAAAACCCAAAACCCAAAACCCTAAGCTGCTGCAGCACCTACCTACTCTTCGCCCCTCCATCGCCGCCAGGGCCACGTACTTGAATGTGCCCTCGTCGATGATGGCGTCAGGAAGCTGCTCCAGGGCTTGTGCCTTCGTGAAATGTGCAAGAAATCCCAGATTCTGCGGTGACTTTCCCACTTCCCCCCCCCCCCCCCCACCCATGCCAAGATGTTTGTTGCTTTTTCTCCGGCGCTGGGTCCAAACAAGTCATCGGACACAGCGGTGCGGTTGCTGAAAAGGACAAGTACACAGGGCTTGCTGATAGCATTTTACACTAGTTTGGGAATCATCTAGTCGTATGTTAAACTTATTTCGACGTGACCTTTTATGGCAAAACCAAACTTGCAGACTCCCAGGAGCCTCATGGATGCAGCCCCTGGAATGCTCGAATCTCAATCCCCCCCCCCCCCCCCCGATCCTAAACCCTAAACCCTAAACCCTAAACCTTACAAACCCTAAATCCTAAACCCCAAATTTTGGGGAAGCTTGCCCCAAGCTGCCGAGGCGGAGATGTCTCCCAGTCCAGCTTCCTCCCTGAGCTCTTTGGCTTTCCTCATGTCTTCCTTGGGAGTCGGGGTGTAGGAAGGGTTTAGGGTTTAGGATTTAGGGTTTAGGGTTTAGGGTTAAGGGTTAAGGATCGCAAGGTTTAGGTAGATTCGGATTCGCGTGTATAATTGAGGGGTTTAGGGTCTAGGATCACAAGGTCTAGATCGATTCGGGGATTGTTGGAGTAGGGCGGCTCCCACGCTAGCAACACAGCGTTCCACAGTAGGGAGCCACTGCCGTCCGAACTTCAGCCGACCAGCCCGATGTAGCGGGAAATGGTTTCTTTATTCTGGGCCATGTCTCGGATCTTCACATGTATCGTAGATAGTCTATAGTCTATACAGAGTCTATAGTATCTAGTATATAGTACCCGGAAGGTGCTTTTCACGTCTGATGCTAGCATCGATCAGCCCCCCCCCCCCCCTCCCCCGCCCCCCCGACAACCTGCCTCAACCCGAAACAAGCCCTCCCGAAGCCTGAACCCTGAATCCTGCGGGGCTGCACAGCCCATCCACCCGAAAAGAAACGACTTGGGGCGGTTGGGGTTTAGGGTTAGGGGCTATCTTGGGAGGCCCCCCTCTCCCCCCCCGTTCCAAGATAACCTATGGAATAGGCACACTAACCTTGTTGAGAGGTATGGCTCTGAGGGTTGCAGGGAAGCAGGCCCTAACCCGGAAACCCAAGCATCGGGAGTCGGTACTATGGGGCCTTCATAATTAGCATAGGGTTGTGGGGCAAATTCTAGTACAATTATAAAGGGACCATAAGGGAATACTATTACTAATTATTCCGACTCCCATACTCTACGATACCAGCTTGGGATCAGCATTTGTGGTCGCTTCTTGTCTGCATTCGGCGGCATCCGCCTGTCAAGAAGCTGGGGGCCGTGAAGCTTACCTTCCTCTTGCAAGGAAGGAGGGGGAAAGGGTAGAGAGAGGTTCTCCTTCTCTATCTCTTTCTCTCTCTTTTTGGGTGGGGGGGAAGGGAGGGGGGCGGGGTTGAAGGTTCCTAAAGCTGCAACCAAACGCCAGGCTCTGCGGGTTAAGACGTACGCCTAGTGGGCGCCGTCACGTTCAGCCACTGACACCATTCAAAAGGTGAAGTTGAGGGTCTTTGTAGAGCTGAGATAGCCTGTCGAAGATGTAGAGACCCGCGTTGCATGAAAACGTCAGTTCTGCAGCAAGATCCCATGCCATAGTATGCGTGCCAAGCCTGAACGCAACTAAACGCCAAGGGATCCGGCACCTGCCGTGCATTTGAGGAATTCGAGTCCGTTCTTGCACACCTATACGAGTCTAAGACCCAGAGACCCCAGAACCCATGCAACCATGCAACCCTAAACCCTAAACCAACAACCCTAAACCCTAAACCCTAAACCCTGAACAAAGTCCAGAGGCAGCCAGGGTGCCACGCATCGGGCTGCAGGCGAAGCGAGAGCTGACGAGGGAAAGGTGAACCTGGTGAAGGTTTGCGAACGCAAGGAACCCTAATCAGGGTTTAGGGTTTGTAGGGTATAGGGTTTAGGGTTTAGGGTCTAGGGTTTAGGGTTTAGGGTTACTCGTATTGGGATGTTCCCCCTTATACTAACAGTCCTTAACAGGACCTATGAGAATCCCCATGAAGGACTGTTCGTACACGGGGGAAGATCATCCCAATACTATAGACCCCAAATAGTAGCGTTCCCTTATCACAAGGACCCCAAGTAGGTACCCCAACGAGGACTGCTAACGAACGTGAGGACCTTCTGCACGAGGGCGAGGCGGGTCTTGTACTTAGGGCCTTATAGGGTACACCCTAAACACTAAACCCTTAACCCTTAAACCCTAAACCCTTATAATCTCTTATACTCCAAACTTGATGGGAAGGCGCGGGGACGAGGCGGTCATCATGCGCCCCCCCCCCCCCCCCCCCCCCCAATAGGCAAGAAAAAACACAACACCACTCTGGCGGAGTCTGTCTGGCTCCCCAAGGCCCCCAGGAGGAGGTTAGGGTTTAGGGTTTAGGGTTTAGGGTTTAGGGCTTAGGGTTTAGGGTTTAGGACCCAGACTCCCAGACACAAATGACAGGAGGGTTCTGGGTTTAGTGTTCACGCTGAAGGCGTGGGAGCAGGGGCTTGATCCGGTTAGGCAGATAATCTTTGTAGTCCTTGAGGGCAATGTATAGGGAACGGCTCAAGCCCTCGCACAAACATCCCGCAAGTTCATTTGGTCAGAAATCCTAAACCCTAAACCCTTTTCTTCTTTGAACCCAGGCTCCGCACTGGCAGCTGGGAACCCTAAACCCTGAACCCTGAACCCTGAACCCTGAACCCTAAACCCTAACCCCTGAACCCTAAAACCCTAAACCCTAAACCCTAAACCCTAAATTAAACCCTAAATACAAATTCCCAGCCCTCAAGTGAAAGAGTGATGCTCCGAGTGGCACCGGCACAGAGCCGCAAACGAAGCTCAGAGGCCTTGGAGCCAAGCCTTCCAAAGGGTTTAGGGTTTAGGGTTTAGAGTTTAGGGTTTAGGGCTTCTTCAGGAGCATGGTTTGGGAGGGCTTCAGGGTTCGGGGCCCGAGCACACCCCGATGAACAAGAAGATTCTCCCATTACTTACCCTTGAAGACGACGACCTTTCTGTAGAAAAAGAGGCAAGTGAAACGGAACGAAAAGCTGCCTAGAAGCTGAACCCCCTAAACCCTAAACCCTAAACCCTAAACCCTAAACCCTCAACATCTAATCTTGAGCCTTTCTTTCTTCTTTGACCCCTGCCTCGATGAAGAAGTGCCAGGGCCACACGGCTCGGCCTCCTCAAGGCAAAGGAGCTGCCCGTAGACCCGAATGCCAAAACTCTAAGGGACTGGAGGGATATTTAGGGTTTAGGGTTTAGGGTTTAGGGTTTAAGGTTTAGGGTTTAGGGTTTAGGGTTTGGGTCGGTCGGATGGTGTAGGTATGGAACTGGCTCGAGTTTCGCAAGTGTATGCAAGCGTTTTTCTAAGAGGTTGTGGGTGGGGGGGGGTTTCAATGATTTGCCTGGCCTTCTTTAATGTGCGGGGCTTCTTCCTTCAAGAGCCTCTGGCAATCTCAAGGTGCTTCTAGCGTCTATGGGCCACCTTCCCGTCCTTTGCCAATGCTTGAAGACTTGTCCATTTCGGGCCAAGCGCCCCAAACACTGGCTTCATTCAGACTGTTTTGAGTTGAGAGTTGAAGGCTCTGCCGCGAGTTCAGGGTTTGAGAACAGTGCCAGCTTCGAGGATAATCTGCGCTTAGGGTTTAGGGGTGTCCTTGCCGCTGAAGCACACCGCCGAGGACCGCGACCCTCTAGCTTATAGCCTGAATCGACAACGACAAAAAAGAGGGTAGCGGAATGCTTTAGCAGCTGGGTGTCCAAATCTACTAAAGAAAGTGTGTCTTATAAATGGAGGTTTACGAAAATGAGGGACCCCGAATACACACACCCCAATAGTAGGATTCCCTTATATTAAGGACCCCAATAAGGAACCCCTTTAACATTGTAAACCCCCCCCCATATTGCAGGCAGACGGCATGGTCAGCGCCACGGCTGACAGAAGAGTCAGCAGCAACCGTGACTGTTTCCTCTCCGCCACTGGCATGGCATTCCTCTACCCCAAAGCCACACGGGTGTTTACGAAAACAAGGGGCCCCGAATATAAACCCCCCCCCAAATAGTAGGATTCCCTTTATAATAAGGAGGCCAATAAGGTACCCCTAATCCGCTGCCGTCCCTACAGAACCACACACGCCACACCGCAAAGGCTTAGCTTGATTAGCGTAAAAAACTGTCCGTGATGAGAGTAAACTTGTAACACACTGTCGAACTGAACTGCACCCGCTAACCGCGCGAGTCCTACTGTCACACTCACCTCGCTGTCATCGGAAAGGGAGTTGCGTGGCCAGCGCTTGACATCAACTTGAGGGACAGGGGGGGGGGGGTTAAGGCTCGCTCAATCGTGCATGTCATGTGCCGATACGACCTCTGTTGCCCATGCCGGTACGCAGAAGGCATCGTTCATAAGAATGGGGTTCGGGGTAGTTGGGTAGTTTCTATTCATTCTATGGCATTTTGGGTTGGGTTATATGATGATCCAGAAATTCGAATCCGGGAGAATCTTGGTACACATTTTGGCTCCCGTGTGCCTTGAACCCTTCCTGTTTTCCCAACCCGAAGTTAAACTTGGGTCCCCATTATCATAGGGGGTACTATAATTCCTACTTAGTATAAGGGGGAACATCCCAACCCTAAACCCTAAACCTTAAACCCTAAACCCTAAACTCTAAACCCTAAACCCTCGTAGGTTGAGGGTGGGTGCAAGCGGCCTAAAGGTTAGATTTGGTGTGAGCGCGCAGCACCGGTGGACCCTGAACCTACAACTCTTCTTGTTCCCCCATATACTAGCAGTCCTTAAACCAGAACCTAACGTCCTGAAGGGGGGAACGTTGTGGAAGACCCTTCTCAACTAGCTCTGGTCCACATAGGCTTAGTTGTCCAGTAACCTGGGGGAATTAAAGGTTAACCATTGGGATTCTAAGGGAATTCTACTACCACAAAAAGGTTAACGGTTACCTACTCTACTACTAGGTAGTGTCCGAAACCGTGAGCCCCGAAACCCAGACGAACACAAAAACCCAAACCCATGTAAGGCCCGCGCCGACGGACTGCCAGCCTTGCAAGGGTTTAGGGTTTAGGTTTAGGGTTTTAGGGTTTTCGGGTTTTAGGGTTTCGGGGTTTTAGGGTTTTAGGGTTGTAGGGTTTTGTGGAGGACACCCCTCCGAAAACAAGGAACCCGAGAGGTTCTGGGGTTTGTTGGCTGAGGGCTTTCGGAGTTTTTGCACTCCACCGGGCTATTGCAGAGAAAGCGACGCGCACCAAATCGAACGAAGTAGCCCAATCTCAGAACTACTCTATTGAGCAGGAAGGGTCTTAGGGTTGAGGATTTTCAGGTCGGTTTGATATACAAGGATTTAGGCATTTGGGATGCAGGGTCTGGGACTGCCTCTGGATTATGATTCTTCTACTTATTGTTGTAATTGTTCTTGTTGTTAGTATTCCTATTGTTCCTACTATTCTTTCTATTGTTATCAGAAGAAGAACAGACAATATTAGGACTATTATTATTGGTATTAGATGATTCTTTGCTCTCTTTGGTTCTGTATGCTTCCAGTGCCCGAAACAAAGTCAAGGCCATGAAGGGGTTCTGTGAGGGCCTTTGCTCCACAACACACAGTGAACACAAAACCCTCCAACCCCCAGGTTGCCCAGTCGCCTGGGATACAAAGGGTGCCCCTTTCTTTCCCTTAAAGGTGCCTAGAAGAAAAACCTGAAACTGCCCCCCCCCCCCCCCGCCCCGACACCCCCCGCCCCGACACCCCCCGCCGACCCCCCCCCCCAAAAAAAGGGCTCATAGGTTTCTTGGGCCTGCATCGGCAGCCCTGCAGGCTTTTCTCCGTCAACTTTCGGCGCCAAGGGCGGCCAGCTGGGAACCTGCCAGGTTTAGGGTTTAGGGTTTAGGGTTTAGGGTTTAGGGTTTAGGGTTTAGGGTTTAGGGTTTAGGGTTTAGGGTTTAGGGGCGCACACTGAGGGTTTAGGGCTTGGAGGGTTTAGGTTTAGGGCTTAGGGTTGGGATGTCCCCCCTTATAACCCTTATACTAACAGTCCTTAATGAGGATTAGAATAGGGGCTACTAGAATCCCTGTTATGGACTGTTAGTAGAAGGGGGAAGATCCCAAGCTTAGGGCCTAGAGGGTTTAGGGTTTAGGGTTTAGGGTGAGACTGCACAACCCATGCGCAATCAAGGCGCGGGTTCTCTGCCTTTGTGGAGGAGCAAGCGTAGGAATCAAGAAATCAAGAGGCAACCGCCAGCTGCCCCAGCTGGTGTAGAAGGAACACAACTCGACACTTTGACTCTCTGAGGCTCTATGAGCAATCAGCTACCTCACCCCTTCCAAAAAACCTGAACCCTGAGAATCCTGAAGCCTAAGCCCGGAACCCTGAACCCAAACCCTAAACCCTGAACCCAAACCCTAAACCCTGAACCCAAAACACTACACTTCCACTCGGCACCTTTGAGCGGAGGTTGGGTGCCGTGCTGACGCGCAGCAGTGCCGGATTCTCCTGCGGCGCTCTTAGAGGCTTTCCAGCCAGGAGAGTCTCGGCATGCTCCGACTTCTAAAGAGGGATGGAAAGAGATCAAGGTTTTCAGAGATTTGGTGCTAGAATTAGTATAACCATGAGTCTGTGTGATTCGTTTGTCAAGAGCTGTGTTTTTTTTTGGGGGGGGGGTTATTGCATCTTGCTAGACTGGAACTTGGCGTTGGCGGATGCACCTGCACGTACCCTGCGGTCATCTTGCCCAAACCCTAAACCCTAAACCCTAAACCCTAAACCCTAAACCCTAAACCCTAAACCCTAAACCCTAAACCGCAAGCCTGCACATGGCTGCCCATCTGGTAGATCTCGCCATTTCCGTTGCCTCGCCACCGCAAGGCGGGGGACCGACGTCTGCAAAACCGAAGAGGCTCCTAGACTATAACTAGTTCATGGTTGGGAGAATATTAAATTCTAAACATTTAAATTTCAATTCCTTATTGGGTTTAAGTACCCTTAAAAATGTAAAATGTTACCCAACTATGACAAAGATAAACTAAATCCCCACATGGAGCCTTAACAGCAGCAATTTTTCGTAGCAGCAGGCAGGGGGTCCCAGCCTCCCAGCTACTGAAGGTTTAGGGTTTAGGGTTCAGGGTTTAGGGTTTCGGGTTTAGGGTTTAGTGTTCTGTTGATGAAGAATGTTGAATCTAGCACTTGCTTGTAAGAAGAGTATACCTCTTGACTATACTCCCCTTAGGACCTTAATTTAAAAAAAACACACTTTTAAATATACTCTTGGGTTCTATGTGAACAAAATGAAGATATTTCCCCAAGGGGGATATGGTTGAAAGACTTTCAACAATCAAAACAGATAGCGCTTGCTCAGGAGCTTTGGGGTCACCCCGGAATCGAGGAGGGCGCACAAGGACTGATGAAGCCTCGGCACTTGTGAACCCAAGCTGAACCCTAAGCACGACACGCCCATCAACCAGCCAAAACCCTCACCCTACACCCTAAACCCCACCGGCAGCCCTAGTTCCCTACAGTTTGCAGGATTCTACCTAAACAGGGGGACTTACTACGAATCTGTAGGTATGTAGGGTCCCCGGTAAACACCCCTAATATGAGCCATCCTATCACTAAAGCCCTAGGCGCAGTGCAGCCCCGTCGCACTGCATCTGCGGGCGCGTCGGGATGAGGTGAGGAGCAGGGCCTGGTACCAGCTCTTCGAAGAAGGACCCTCTTCGGGTTAGGAGGGGTTTGTAGGGTTTCAAGTTTTGGGTCTTTGTTGTAGAGGGCTTTGTGGAGGTTAGAACTGTCAAGATTCTTGGAGCTAAATGCTACTGAAAGCTCGGGCCTTATGGGACATAAGAAAGGGCGCGAATTTTATGGCTTCAGGCGTAGGCTCTCAGCTCTGTGCGTAGACCCGCCATGGTTTACTACGCAGTGCCGAACGCCCACCCCCCCTCCCCCTCCGGGCAAACAAAAATAGAAGTCGCATGTTCATGCTTCAGCATTGAAAGGCACAGGGCTTTGGTTCAGGGTTTGGGGCCTGAAAAATCATGAGCCCAATGCCTGGCTGCATCAGTATGTAACCAAGGTTCTCTAACCCTCCCCACTACTTCCTCAACCCTAAAGCCTAAACCCGAAACCCTAAACCCTAAACCTTCCCGAAGGTTCCCTACACGTACCTACCTCCCATGGATCAACGCGCCTGCGGGGTGCACGGGCATCTGCCACAAAGACTGGCCTGTGCGGAGCTCCATGGGTAGGTCTAGGGTTTAGGGTTTAGGGTTTCGGGTTTGGGGTTTAGGGGTTAAGTCAGGAGTTACTGTAAGCCTAACGCCATACGTGGGGGTTTACGCTAATAGGTGGCCCCTGTATAAAATTGAGGCCCAAACAATAGGATGCCCTTGTGAAAAAGGGCCCCCCCGTATACGTACCCCGAATTTCGGAAGCCCCCATATACGTACCCTCAACCCTAAACCCTAAACCCATGAACCTCCGAACCTCCAAGTGGAACTCCCGAAACCATTCTTGCAGTATGACCCCCCCGCCGCGGCCTGTACCTCTGTTTCCCTTGCATCGAGGGCCCCGAGCCCCATATAAACCCTAAACCCTACATAAACCTTTTTTTCCCTAAACCCTATACCCTAAACCTTGAACCCAGACCCGGGAGCATCAGTTGGGACCACCAAGCAGAGCATTGCACAGCCCAGCAGGCCCTGAACCCGAAACCCTTGGGCTTGGAAGTTGAATGCGTGTCGCCTTTAGGGTTTAGGGTTGAGGGTTGAGGGTTTAGGGTTCACTTTCGTCAACTAACCACCCAAGACTCAAGCGCACATCGCGTAGCACAATTGAGCCAGAAGCCTGTGTCTAAACTTGCCTAGGAGACAGAGTAGCTTGGAGGGCCCTATAGGATTCAGGGCTTGCAGTTCAGGCCAGGCACTTAAAGCCTGTGGGGGCCTGAGTCCTGTGGAGCCACAACACATCACACGCGAAGAT